TATATATATATATATATATATATATATATATATATGTTAATTGAAAATCACTGATAGAACTAAACCTCAAAGCAACTATGAGTCAGTTTGGCTTTGTTAAAGTCCATACCTCAAAATGGCTTGTAGCTGTAACTACTGTTTATAGATATATGTAAACCTTTTAAATGTATTTGTAATAATGTTAAAAAAATGTGTATCATTTTCCTTTCCCTAAATTACCACCTCTGTTGGTCTAGGACTTAAAAAAATCCAGTACAGACAATGTTGCTTATAAATTAAACAAAATGTGAAAAGGGGGTTAAAGGACATGTATTCTATATGAGTTTGATTTGCTTACTGACCTTTTTCAAAGCTCCAGTCTTAACAGTGTTCTTGATGGAATTTTCTGGGTCAGTATCCTGTACTGTACATCTGTTATCTACACTTTAAGATCGAGTTAATCACGCTATTTATGTTTTTAAATCATGTACATAAGGTTTGCTTGAAATCCTTAATGCATCTCTTTTATAACTTTTGACGCAGAAAAATGATTTAACAGTTGCTGAATATGTATGCTTCATGTCTCTTTTCTTGCCTTCACTTTTGCTCACCAGTGCACCTCATTCCCTCTGCTGTATTGGCATTGACTCTTGGTTTAAAGAGGCCTCTGGAGGGGGAGAGCACAGAGGGAGACTTGGAACAATATATTATAGGTAAATAAATGCTCTGTCTGAAAAAGAATGCCTTCTCAAAACATACTGAAATCTTCTCAGAGAACCATGCAACCCAAATAATGCTCTAATTACTCCTCTGATAATATGATAACACCGCTTCAGCCCCTTTTGGAGTCACTGGGTTCACTAGGCAAACAAGGAGCAGTCATCTGAGACAAAGAGAGAATATAATCTTAGGCTTTGGAGAGTCTGCATGAACTTTTTTGTGTGTGACCGTGCATCTGTTGGAACAAAAGAGGGTGAAATACTTGCTTTTGATGTACAGTATTTCTGCTTCCAGCTTTTCCAGCTGTAGATGAACTTTAGTCACCATTGTTTATTCTTGAATTTGAAGCCACGATCTCTGACAAGTGCTGAAAACAGGTGTCCTTTTGAACTTCATGGTGCAATGTGAAGGACATATTTGTACATATGCTTTTTCTCATATTAGAACCACCCATTTTAATATATGTAATTAAGATTTTATTCACTAAACCTACAAAACTATGTGAAATAAGTAGACACCAACATGGTCTACAAATAACTACTAAAAGGGTAGCATTTTGATTTAGCCTCGTTAGGATTTTAACACATTTTAAAAACCCACTGTTTGCTGTCTAACCAAAACATCATAATCAGATCTTAGGGCTGTAGTTTAATTGGGGCATTTTACCAAATAAAAAATATTTAAACAAAAACGTTCCTTTTAGCTATGCAATTTCAGGCTTCATTTTCCAGCTGAATGGTGATCTCACTGTCTTAAGATTGTTGCAGCCACTAAATGGTTTTCGGCTGAGATTACCATTTTTCTTAGAGTAGCTCCATCAATCCTTCATTCTGCAAAGACTTGTTTCCTTGTCCGTGCTTAGGAACACCTACGCACAGCACAATGCTACCATGTTTTACCACCAAGATATTGTTTTCAAATAGATAATTATGTAATTAGCTTTCCAGGAGATAGGGTGTTATATATCAGTCAAAAATGTTAACTTTGGTCTGACAGGAGATGAACACCCAGTTACACATGTTTTTTGTGTCCCGCAGTAGCTGCAGCCAAATGAAAGCAGAGCATCTTAAGGATCTCTGTCCATAATAGCCCTCTCCCTGCGTGTCTTCTATTAAGGCAGAATTTTTGAAGTGTACATGATTTGAAA